AGGTCTGAGCACTCTTGTGCTGACTAAGTGCGCACGCTCAGAGGTAGGGAGGTGGCGACGCACAGCAAGACGTGCAGCACCATCGCGCGTGGCCCACTGTAAGCGAATAGTGGCGTCAGCATCAGCAGCAGGAGCAGGAGAGGCACCAGAGGTGAGGTCAAAGAGGGAGAGACCGTCTGCCCTATCGCACTGTAGGAACAGCTGCAGGTCATCTAACCAGATGTCAAAGTCAATGGCTCGACCCTCGGCGTCAAAAACGAGGACACTAGGAGTAGCCATGACAGCAGTAGACTAACAGTGCGAGCTTTAGAGCAGTGACAGCGTCGCTGCGCTCACCAGACAGGGCGGGTCGGGCAGCTCGGGCGGCTCGGCAATAACTGCGGCTCGGCAGCACCCGAGGCTCGGCTCCTTAGCTACTCAGGCGGCCTCAGCGGCTCGGGCGGCTCGGGCTGCTGAGCGGCGTGAGCGGCTCGGCTGGGGCTGTATGTAGGGCGTCGGGGCCGGAGCCGGGGCGCAGTTAGGGCGACGAGGCCGGGTCGAAGGTAGGGCGACGGGGCCGGGGCCGGGCCGTAGATAGGGCGACGGGGCCGGGTCGACGGTAGGGCGACGGGGCCGGTGCGCAGGTAGGGCGACGGGGCCGGGGCCGGAGCTGCAGGTAGGGCGACGGGGCCGGGGCCGGAGCCGCAGGAGGGCGACGGGGCCGGGTCGACGGTAGGGCGACGGGGCCAGTGCGCAGGGAGGGCGACGGGGCCGGGGCCGGAGCCGCAGGTAGGGCAATGGGGCCGGGGTCGCGGGTAGGGCGACGGGGCCGGGGCCGCATGTAGGGTGACGGGGCCGGGGTCGCAAGTAGGGTGACGGGGCCGGGGTCGCAGGTAGGGCGACGGGGCCGGGGCCGCAGGTAGGGCGACGGGGCCGGGGCGTAGGTAGGGCGACGGGGCCGGGGTCGCAGGTAGGGCGATGGGGCCGACGCGTAGGCAGGGCGACGGGGCTGATGCGTAGGCAGGGCGACGGACACCCCCACAACCACAACCCCCACACCCTAAGTGTGCGGTAAGCGCGCTCAGGTGTGCGCGAAGCGTGCACAAGCCTGCGGGAAGCGAACTCGGGTGTGCGGAAAGTGAACTCAGGTGGGCGGGAAGGGGGGGGCGCAGGGCGACGCGCGGGTCGACGGGGACGGGCGCACGGGTCCTCAAGGGCGGCGCGCGGGTCGACGGGGCCGCCGCGAAGAGCGACGGGGAGCCGCGCGCGGGTTGACGGGGCCGCCGCGAAGGGCGACGGGGAGCCGCTAGGGCGACTCGAAGAAGTAAGTGAAGGGAGCGTGACTCCGGGAGAGCGCGCTACGGGCAGTAAAAAAAAATGTTCGTATTGGTGGGCCCTAGGCACAGTTCCCACTAGGGAACCTGCTCGATACCATGAGAAGATATGAACGAGAATGAATGCAGTATGAAAGAAGAGAGTACAAGTACTAACCCTAATTGGGTTGTACCCCCTATGGGATGCCCCACTATAGCCTACACAAAATGTATAAGCTACAATATTCTGACATGAAGAGCAATCTGCTCTCCTATTGCTAGCTGTTGAAAAAGGGAGCGCACATCAATACTATTGCCAATGGAGACACGGAGGTCACCATGTCTGAAGGAGAGTAGTACGTGCGGATTGGACTTTGCAAGAATGTGGATGGAGTGCTCATGGTGCAGTATGAGCCGGCACTTACATTTGCCAATGATCCTGGACATTCCGAAAACGGTGCGTCGTCGAAAAGGCATGGTTGTGAAAGGGGTTCACCTTTCCGCACACCTGGAGTGCACTTGGATACACACGGGAGCGTGCTTTCCCTCACACATGGAGTACACCTACGTACCCATTCTGCATACCGCATGGCACACAAAGCCTGCATCGTGCAGAACCGGGCACGTGATGTTGATACGGATGAAGTCTCACCCCACAGTGCGGAGCGGACTTCACGAGGAGAAGGACAAAGGTCCGCGATGGATTCGGGAGTCGATGGAGCAGACCCTATAAAGCAGGACTTACCGGGAGCTGATGAAGTCAGTGCGGCCGAAGGAAGCGGAGGCATAGCTGGTTACTTACCTGCAGCAGGTGTCTCCATTTTGGAAAGCATGGAAAATGTTGATGTGGGAAATGAGGTGGACAAGCCAAGCAAGCAGCATCTCACCTGCAATTCGCTGGCTGGTCAAGGCAATCAAGTCAAGGATTATGGTGTTGTACTCACCTGTGCGGCCACCTCGAGCTGTGCTGCACAACAGGGCATAGCCTAACTCGACACTCACTCATGCGCTTGTAACTGTGTACGAGGTCTCTTGCACGGATACAAGGACATGGGTGGGGGGGAGGTGGGGTGTGGAGACTGTTTGGGGGCAGAAGAGTGGGACATGGAGTCAAGAAGCATGTGGGGAAGACATACTCACCAAGGGTTGCCAATAGGCAGGGGGAGAAGGCAGAAAGGTTGTAGCCGGTCGCCGTCATCCGACGATGTAGCGGTATGGTGTGATTGGTTGCTGCGGATGAACGGCACCATCTGAGGGAAGGATGGAGAACATATATGGAGCACAAATTTCTGCATACTTCGATGCACATCTCGGCATACTTGATGTGCACTGCACACTTGGAGTGGACATTTCTGCATACATAAAGTGCAGGTTTTCGGGATACTTGGAGTGCGTCGGCATGCGCAAATTTTTAGCTGATGCAGTTCGGCGACTCCGGCTGCTACCGTCTGTCGGCTGGAGTGTATGGGGAGCATCATAAGGAAATTTGGGTAAAGTCAGAGCGGACTTGGCATCACCCTTTGGTGTGGATTTAAGATATGGACAACCTCGTGCCAATCCCAGCACGAGGCAGGGGGAGAAAGGCAAGGTTTACAGAGAAAGGCAGAGGAAGAAAAGCAGGGGAGGAGAGAATCGCGCGAAGATGCAGCAGGCGCGGACAGGAAAATGATGCAGTAGGCGCGCAGCAGATCGTCAGCCGCTGACGAACGCCAAGTCGTAACTTCTATCGCGCGCAGTGTGCGCCCGCCAATGCAGTTCCGCGCCAGCCGTACGCCATGCGTTATCCGCTACCGCTTCACGTCATCCGCAACTGCAGTCGTCGCAGATGCGCATCCACTGCGGTTTCGAGTCGTCGCACGGCAGGCGTGCGATATAGATAGCAGAGACAATCGCGTGTCGTAAGGTCTACGGTTTCGGAAATTCAGCGTGCGCTAAAGGCATTCCGCCATGGTTTTGAGAAGATCTCATCATGGAGCTGCTACGATTCCCTGAGCAACAGCCATAATTCATTCGATCTGGATCTAGAAAGTCGAGATTGGAAGGGAGGATTGGAAAACGTGAGGGAAGGTGGTTTGGTTGGAGTTTGGACGCAACAAGAGCCTGGAAAGGGAAATGTGCTACAGTGACCAGTAGCTAAGCCGGCACCAAACCCTAGTTCGGTTTGGGTTGGGAGCATCCCTACCTCTGCGGTAGTACACCACCTCATCCACCCCATCCTCCAAGACAAACGAATTCACTAAAAATTACAACAAGGGGGAGTGTTGGAAATCCGAGTACAGTATGACGAATACTGTACACCAGTATGCTGTTTCGTTTTTGTGTAGTCCCTTTTATAAGCCTCCAGGTCCTACAATAATTGTCGCAATTATTGTATGGCCAGAATTATTAGGGCCTAGCATTATTGGAGGGTAGGGGGGAGAATGGTGCACCATTATTGGTATGAATGGGGCCATCCTGTGAGAGTTAGGTGGGTCCATAAATACCCTGCTATGTCACTTCTTAATCAACCAATTCTCAACCCATTTCCCATGCAAGCCTTCTATCTTGTTCTTTCTACAAATACGTTTCCGCTACGCTGGCACTATGCCTTTCTAGCAGAACATCCCTACGTCTCGCAATCAGTTTGAAAGGTCAATGGTCAGCACTGTACTTATCTTTCTGCAACTCAATATCATGCAGATAAACTACTGGTATGTACAACCTCTCTTCAAAGTTAAAAATATGTTTTACACCCTTACTGAGACCTTAACATCGATGAGCCTAGATTGAAGATAGCGTGCACTCGGCAACCAAAAACAGGGATTTCACCCCAAACCAGGCCAGGGTGCCCGAAAATTACAAGTATTGTACGTACAGCATTGTATAAATGGACACTTCGTGGGGGTCGGTGGGCGGGATTCGACCAAACAAATAAAATTAGGGGGCGTCATATCACCCTGGGTGCCGACAATTGTTCCCGCTCCTGCAAATTGGGTGGGGTCGGAAATTTGCAGGGGCTGTTGCGTGTTCTCTCCCGTTTTGTTCGGAGTTTGCTTCCCTGAAACCTGTTTTAGATCCTTCGAAAACCAACGAAACCGCATGATAAGGGAGCAACAAAGCGGAATCAACTAAAAACCCTAAGAGGGAGCAAAAAATCTGGTGGTAACCACGTTCGCCCACGAAGGTTCAATCTGCTGAGCTGTGTTCTGCTCTGCTCCCCTCCATCCACCTCTCGTCGTTACACGGGGCTAGTAGAAACGGAAATAGGAAGCTACTTGAGAATCTTCCGCATACAGCTGGCCCGTCCCACCACCCACACACGCCTTACCTCGACAGCGCATCCGAATAACCAGACAGCAATATTTTTTTTCCGCCGCCGACCGGATGCTGCCCACTCGAAAAAGCGTCGCTCGAATTCCCGCGATGCATGGCACGCACGTGACATATGTGTCGCGACTCGCACAACTCGTGACCGCCACAGAAAAACGGCCTTCTGCCAACACACCGAAGCAAACGCCATTCACTCCTTATACTCCCCACAAAAGACTGCGATTGCGAGTACCTTCCGTTACCGTTAAGCGCCGCTTCGCTCCCCCCGTCAACTCTCCACCCGCGAACCTCCGCTCCGCCGGACTCTGCGCGCGCATTTCCTCCTCCGCAACTCTCGCGCCGCCGTGTTGCTGTTTCCGACGACCCTGACGTCTTCCGCGCCTCTCGCCGATAGTACCCATGCCGCCACCGACACCCCCCCGCCGCACTCCGCGCACCGCCGCCCGGCGCACGTCCGTCGCGGGTGCCTCCGCGCGTCCCCGCCTCACGCGCGCGCTCCTTGTCGCGCTCGTCGCGGCGGCAGCCATCGCGCGCGTCGCGACACCAGCGGCGGCGGCGGCGGCGTCGTGGGGTCCCGCGTGCGTGAACGGGTTTCCGAAGCGCGCGCTGTGCCGCTTCGTGGATGACTTGGCGGCGTCCCCGCTGGTGGAGGTGGACGGCGCGACGGGCAGCGCCGTCACCATCGGGGTGTTCCAGAAACGCATCGTGAGCACCTGCCGTGCCGCCCGCCCTCGTCCCTGCACTGCGCGCGCCCCTGCACATGCGCGCGTCCCTGCACTACGCGCGCCCCTGCCCCACCCCTCGCAAATAATCCGTAGTATCCCTTCCACGCCCTGCGTGCGGCTATCCCAGCCTGGTAGCACAGCACCATGTTTTCCTTCCCCGCCTCCCCTGCACTGCGCGCGCGCCTGCACTGCGCGCGCCCCCTGCACTGCGCGCACCCTTGCACTGCGCGCGCAATGTCCCGTCTTTCACGCGTTGCGCGCGGCGCACCCAGCCTGGATACACCGCGTCCCCACCGGATGCATCAATACACGCATGCTGCTGCTCCATGCTCCTCCCCCCTCTCCATTACCCCCCTGTGTCTCCCGTTCTTGCCCCTCACCCGTCCTTTCGTTTCTTACTCCCTTCCCCCTTCGGCCTACTCCCCCCGTCCGTGCGGGCGAGCAGAAGTTTCACCGCGACCTGCCAGCGACGAAGCAGTATGTGTTCGGAGTGGACACCACGTCCCCACTGATGCATGATCCGTTACACGATGTATCTGTCCCATGCTCCTCTCCCCTCTCCACGCCCCCCCCCCCCCCCCCCCCCCCCCCCCCCCTCCCCGCTCCCACCTTCCGGGTATGGCGAGCAGAAGTTTCACCGCGACCTACCAGCGACGAAGCAGTACGTGTTCGGTGTGGACAGGGAGAGCGCCAGCTACCCCGGCCCTCTCATTGTGGCACAGCGACACACGCCCACCACGGTAGGCCCCGCGCACACGCCCGGTAAGGTCCGCTGGGTCACATGCGTTGAAACTCACAACCGCGCACCGCGGCAACCACCACGCATGGCGCCATATCGCACACATCGCACAACGCATTCGTGTTGTGTGTGTGATAGAGTGAGTGAGAGCAACTTCCATCTCTAATCCCCAATGGCCCTCCCAATCCGTTTCCCTCAACTCCACTTCATGCTTCCACCTTCCGTCCCTTCCCCGTGCCGCCTGTGCAAACACATGACGGTGGTGGCAGGTGCGGTGGGAGAACCATGTGAGCGACCAGCAGCACATGCTGGGGGTGGACTACTCGCTCTCACACGTCGCCCGCCCCGCCCAAGGCGGCATCCCCATCTGTGCGCACCGCTGCCCCATCGCCGGCCCATCGCCGCCCCATTGCCGCCCCATCGCTGCCCCATCGCTGCCCCATCGCATGCCTGCCGTCTCCCTCCTCTCCACCTTCGTCTTCCTCCTCTCCCCCATTCCCTCCCCCCTCCTCCTCTCCCCTCTCCTCTCCCCATCTCCACCGCAATCCCCTCCTTCATCGATTTTCCTGCCTGGCCTTCTCCTCCACTCGTTAGCTCTTGCATGGAGGCTCCCTCCCATGCGCGCGGCTCTCCTTGCTTGCCATTCTTACCCATGCATGCATGCACTGCCTCTCGCGCGCACGGCGCCATCTCATGCTTCCATTCCCACATGCCCCACACATTTCCGCATATCGCGCATGCACAGATCGCGCATGCGCAGATCGCACATGCACATGTCGCATGTTCTGTTCCCATGTGCGTCAACTTCCCCCGCGCTCGTACGCAACTCCCTGCAGTTGTCTCGCTCACCCGAATGTGTAGCATGTTTTTCGAATTGTCAGGACGTACACCTAACCCATCGCCCTTTGTTCCATCTTACTTCTTTTTCACTCTTTTTGGCCCCCATTCTTCTCCCCTTTCTTCTCCCCCTTCTTCTCCCCCCCCCCCTCCTCCTCTCCCAGCCCCCCACCTGCACGGCTCAGAATCCCCAAGCCACTCCGACGGCCACCCGCACGCGTGGTTCTCGCAGCACGGCGACACCGGCTCAGCCTTCTCCTCCGCCACCACCACCTACCCCAACGCGCAGCCGCCAGCCCTCCTCTGGTTCCACGACCACGCCATGGGATACACTCGCCTCAACACCGCTGCTGGCATGGCCGGGCTGTATTTGATCCGCGACCTGACAGGGGTGGAGCAGGCCATGAGTGGGTGGTTGCCGCAAGGGGAGTTCGATGTGCCGCTTGTGCTGGCGGATCGCCGGTTCCGGAAGGATGGGAGTGTGGTGTATGGTGGGGGCGGGGGAGGAGGGGGGATGGGTATGAACATGCAGATGGAGAGCTTCGGAAACGTGAATGTGGTCAATGGGAAGGTGAGGCGTTGGAAGATAGATAGGTTTTTCACGAGTGGTAGGGGCACGGAGGGATGAGCATGGGCATGCAGATGCAGATGGAGAGCTTTGGGAATGTGAACGTGGTCAATGGGAAGGTGAGGCGGGGCTGAGACGGGGCTGAGGCGGGGCTGAGACGGGGCTGAGACGGGGCTGAGACGGGGCTGAGACGGGGCTGAGACGGGGCTGAGGCGAAACTAGGATTCAGACGGGTGGTGGGGGAAAGGCAAGGTGGGCTTGGGACAGTGGAGCATTCAAACGTCAGGTATCCTCACTGCCCTCGCTACCAACCTGCCTGTCTTTCCTTCTTCCCCCTACCATACTCCTGCCAATCCTCCTTGCCCCACTTCCCATCACCCTCCCTCCCGCCCCCCCTCCTCGTGTGCCCCCTCTCCCATCTCACTGCCCCGTTTTCATCGTGCTCCCACCACAACGCCTCCACCAACTCCCTCTCTTCCCCCTGTGTGGCGTTGTGGTTGGGTGGCGTGGCGTCACACCCACATCACATCACAAAAGTCCCCCAACCTCCCCCAACCCAACCTCCCCCAACCTCCCCCAACCTTCCCCACCTCCCCCACCTCCCCCATCACCCGCATGGCAGGTGTGGCCGTACATGGCAGGTGTGGCCGTACATGGCAGGTGTGGCCGTACATGGCAGTCAAGCCCCGCCGGTACCACCTTTGCCTTTTGACGCGTCTTAAATGCGTCCCCCCATCACACCACCTCCCCCAACTCTCCCACCCCTTGTCCGGTGCGGTGGCAGGTGTGGCCGTACATGAGTGTCAAGCCTCGACTGTACCGTCTGCGTCTGCTGGGAGCAGCAAACTCTCGCGTGTACCGCCTGCACTTCCAGTGCGCCGCCCAGAAGGACTACCCGCACCTCGTGCCGCCCCTGGACGGCCCCACTCTCTCCGTGCTGCAGGTGCATGCTTACCTCTGTGCGTTGGCATAAGGCCGAGGCTTATGGGGCTTGCTTTTGCTGTGCTTCCTTCCCACCTCGTGCCGCCCATGACGGCCCCACTCTCTCCGTGCTGCAGGTGCGTGTGGTGCTCTCTATGCATTGACACGAGGCCAGGGCTTATGGGGCTTCACTTCACTGTGCTTTGCACCCATTCAGTCCTTTGAAGTGCATTTTGAGGGCCTCAGGTGGTTCTCTGACTGTCTCTGTCATTCACACACATGTGTCCTGCTATACCATGCCCCCTTCTACGGTCTACCCCCCCCCTGTAGCCCATCTGCTCTGCATTGTTTGTCTCATTCGAGTTGCCTCTTTTTCCTACCCCTCCTCCTCAACCCTTTCATGTAATTCCCTCCCCCGTCCCTTCCATCCCTCCCACCCCACCACCAGATAGCCTCAGACGGAGGGTACCTAGCAGCGCCCGTGCGCCGCTCCTCAATCCTCCTCGCCCCAGGAGAACGAGCAGACATTCTTCTCGACCTCTCCTCCCTCCCCTCCTCCTGCCGCCACATCCTCCTCCTCAACACCGCGCCCGCGCCCTTCCCCGCCGGCGCGGGCGGCATGGGTGGCATGATGGGCGGCCCCATGGGGTGGGCGGCTCGCGGTGTAGGCAAGGTGGTGGGCAGTACGGGGAGGGCCATGGGGAGGACAGTGAGGAAGGTGACAGGGCGAAAGAAGGTGGTAACGGCGAAGAAGGCCGTGGGGACGGTGATGCTGTTCAAGGTGGTGCAGGAGGCTGCTGTGGCTCCGCCTGCTGTGCCAGCCACACTGCAGGTGGGGTGGGACTCTTGGGCGTGGACCCTGGGCGTGTAGAGATGGGTGGGATTGTGGGCTTTCCTCACAGGGCGGCTCTCAACTCACCATGGTTCATGGCTTGCCCTTCATTCGCTCTCATTCACCGCAGTCGCATTCATTCGCCTATGCGCTCCAATCATTCTCGATGCGATGCTTCCCCTCCCTCTCCTTCGCCGCCTTCCTTCTCAACTTTCCCATGTTCCCTGCTCGCCCGTTCCTTCACTCTGGGCCGACTTCTCAGTTCTTCTCATCAACTCTCACCCCCCCTCTTCCCCCTTCCACCCGTTCCGCTCATTACCTTGATGTGTGCTGCTGCTGTTTTCAATGAATCCTTTACCCCACTTCCACTCCCGCTCCTTTGCTCACCCTCTCCTCTTCCCGTTCCCTCTTCCTCTCCCCCATACCTCTTCCCTTCTGTTCCTCACTCGTTTTCCTTCCCATGTACGTCCCATCTTCATCTTGTCCCCCTTCGCCCCATCCCGCCCACAGGCCATCCCCCCCATTGACCTCTCGCAGGTGTCTCGAGTGCGCTACCTCACTATCTCTGGTATGACGATGAGCGGCATGGGCGGGGGCATGGGCGGGGGCATGGGCGGGAGGATGGGCGGGAGAATGGGCGGCAGGGGGAGAAGAGTGCGGAGGCGAGGGAGGGGCATGGGGGAGCTGTGGGGCATGTGGGACGGCATGAGTAGCAACATCTCCACAGCCTCACTTTCTGTGCGGAGGAGCACTATCAGGGGGCGCATGGGGATGGGCATGGGGGGCGGCGGTATGGGAGGAGGAGGCGGCATGGGAGGGGGAGGCGGAGGAGGCGGCATGGGTGGCGGAATGATGCGGTTCACGATCGACGGCAAGGGCTTTATGGATGCCGCCACAGAGGTGGCTGCAGCAGGAGCGTCAGAGTTATGGCACATAGTGAACACAGGCTCGCACGCGCACCCCATTCACATCCACCTGGTGCAGCACCGCCCCATCTCCCGCCGCCCCTTCAACGCCGCGGGCTTCCTCAAGGGCTCGTGTGCGCTGAGCGGCGGCAGCAGCAAGCCGAGCTGCTACACCGGGGGTGCGGAGGCGGTGGGGGCGTGGGAGAGCGGGTGGAAGGATACGACGCTCGCTCTGCCTGGGCAAGTGCTGAAGCTGTTTGTGAGGTTCACTGCTCAGGATGGGTCGGCGCTTCCGTTTGACGCGACAGCGGGTCCGGGGTATGTGTGGCATTGTCATATGCTGGAGCACGAGGAGAATGACATGATGCGCCCCCTGCTTGTCACTGCATGATGGATCTGGGTTTCCGAAACATGATTGTGCTAGGCTGATGTGGAAGTGGAAGTGTGTGACACTGTCAGTTGATATTTCTGTTTTGTGCTTGTGTGAGTTTGTGTAAATGAAGTTTGTTGTCTTTGTCAACGTACACATGTGCATTTCCATGTACCGTATACTTTGTAGGCTAGGTTGGTTTGCATTATTGAGGGTATGGGATGCTACATGTACCTTGTAGCTCCTCATCTATGTAGTCATTCAATTCAGTTTCTAACATAATACTTCGCATGTAGGTTATGGTATATTCCTCGCTTCGCCCCACTTACCTCCTAGTTGCCCCCCCACCCTCTAGCACCCCCCCCTCTAGCGCCCACTCCCCTCAAGCGCCCCCCCTTAGCGAACCGTCGTGGCCCTCCCGCTGTCGCGGCCCCATGGTCGCCCAGCCACGCCTGCCGCCGCGTATGCCGCTCGCCTGCCCCTCGCTTGCCGCGCGCCTACCGCATGCTCGCCGCACTTGCCACGCGCCTGCCGCCACGCCTTCCACACACCTACCCCTCACCTGCTGCACGCCTGCCGTGGCGCCTACCGCGCGCCTGCCTCTCGCCTGCCACAACTCCTGCCTCTCGCCTGCTGCCGCGCCTGCCAACCGCTGAACCTACCGACGCACATGTCGACGCCACAGCGTCTGCAGCTGTTGTCGTTGCTGCCGCGTCTGCATGTTGTGCTGCCCGTTGTCTGCCTGCCTGCATCTGACTTTCTCCTCCTCCACATGTGGCTGTCCCTTCTCATCTACTGCAGCTGTCCTTCTGTCACTCATGGGGTCTGAGTTTGTACTAGAGCTCGATGCCGAGGGGCAGGGAAGTGACTTTGACGCGTGGCGCTCGACGTCAAGCTCCACCTGCGGAGCCAGCAGTCAGGATGCACGGGGGAGGGTGCATACCAAGGAACTCAGTAATGCAAGCTGCGCGGTATCCAGCGTCAAGTGAGCACAGGTGGGTAACGAGGTTAGCAAGAGTGGAGAACGAAAAGAGATAAGGAATCAAGCAATGCAAAATGAAGCGTCCTAGAGAACCAAAGGAGGGGGTGGAGCATCAAGCAACAACAGCGTCAAAGCACTCCTTCGCCATCTCAATCAGGCGAAAGTCACCAGCTCGGCCGGTGGCATGATGCAGCTGATATCGTAGAAAGACGTGCAGCAGTGTCACGCGGCTCCCACAGTGTGCATGCAAGGTGGGCGTCGAAGTTCTCCTTTTGTGCCTCCAAATTGGTGTAAGCAGCAAGAGCAGTAGGACGTGGGGGGGCAGGTAGCTCATTCAAAGCGTGGGCATACAGAGGGACGTCACCCTTAAGCTGGTTCCACTGGAGGAGCGGGACGTCGAGACTCCACGCGGCAAAGTTGACCACCCGCCCCTCCGCATCAAGCCAAAGGACAAAGCTAGTCGCCATATTGGGAGGAACAAATGGCATAGCTACAGCACATAAGAGGGGACCGTCAAATGCAGATAAGGCAGACAAGGAGGGCAAAATTTGAAGTTGTGAAGAACAAAGGGCGCGCGATAGTTGCGGCGGGGCACGGTTGTGGGTGCGGTAGGCTCACACTCAGCAGATGCCGCAGCGGAGCGTGCAACATGCGAACATGGTAGAGCGCGGCAGCAGGTGTGCACGGTAAGACGGAACTGGTTGGCATAGGTGGTTGGTGTGGGCCGTGCGCAAGCTGCTGCGGGCGGGCGCGGGCACAGCTGCATGAGTACTGATGCAGCTGGTATTGGCGCAAGCGGCAGGTGCGCGTTGGAGGGTAGTGCAAACTGGCGCGCGGACGGTGCTGGCTTGCACGGTCTGGCGAAGGCTGGCGCGCCGGCAGCGTGGCTGGTGCGATGGCTGGCACGCAAACAGCGAGGCTGTCGCGTTAGCTGAAGCATTGGCTGGCACGGGCGGCGCGCAGGCTGGTGTATGCGGTTGGCGCGGGCTGGCAGGACTGGCGCACGGCTGGCCCAAGCTAGCGTGGGCTGGCGTTGTCTGGCATGACGGGGCTGGGCTGGCACGGGCTAGCGCGACTGGCGCAAGCTGGTGCTGCTAGCACTACGGACGGGAAGGCGTGAAGGACGCAGGCACTAGGGGCGCTACATATGTGAACAAGGTGCCTAAGTGAGCTAGAAGATATATGGGTGGATATGTAAGAATCCCAACTACTAGACCATTGGGATAAAAGGGCTTATCACCATTGCAGATCTACTAACAACCCCACCCCCCCCTTTTTACTGGGAGTCAAAGGAAACTGTCAAATTATCTATCCTATATATGATTGTAGGCTGTAGTGGGGTAGCCAATATGGGGTATAGCCCCTTTAGGGTTTCATATTTGTACCCAACCTTCTTCTAGTTCATCCATTCCTGCCTGCTTATTCTAACATGGTATTAGAGCAGAATTGTTCCTAGGGCCCACCGAACATTCCGTCTTGCCCTAACTGAATTTTTTTTTTCCTACGCTGCCCCTGTATCCGTGCTGTTCCTGCAGCCTGCGTGCTGCCGACGTGGCCGCGCCCTGCTGCTGACGCAGCCCCGCCAGCCCTGCAGCTGACGTGGCCGCGTCATGCTGCTGACGCAGCACCGCCCAGACGCCGACGTGGCCGCGCCCTGCTGCTCACGCGGCCCCGACAGCCCTGCAGCTGACGCGGCCGCGCCCTGCTGCTGACGCGGCCCCGCCCAGACGCCGACGCGGCCCCGCCAGCCCTGTAGTTGCCGCGGCCCCGACCTGCCGCTCGAGCGACCCAGCCCTGCAACTACCGCGGCCGCGCCCTGCCGCCGACGCGGCCCCGCCTGGACGCTGACGCGGCTCCGACCTGCTGCTGGCGCGACCCTGCCCTACAGCTGCCGCGGCCCTACTCTGCAGCCGCTGTTGCGGCCCCGCCGAGCGCCGGCCCTCCCTGCCACTGGTGAGCACCTGCCTTGTTCGAGCGCTGCCGCCCGCCTGCCTGCCTGCCTGCCTGCCTCCATGCCTGCCTGCCCGCCCGCCTGCCTGCCTGCCTGCCTGCCTGCCTGCTCGCCTGCCTACCTGCCTGCCTGCCTGCTCGCCTGCCTATCTGCCTCCCTGCCTTCCTGCTTGCTTGCCTGCCTGCCTGCCGCGCTTGCCCTGGACGCGCTGCTGCTGCTACTACTGCTATTGCTACTGCTACTGGCGGTGACCAGATGCAGCTCCAGCGACGTCCACGTGAGTCCCTCACGCCCCAGCAGCTTCATGAGTGGTACACTAGTTGGGGTTGTCGGGGTGGCCGCGCTGCTACTGCCATTACTGCTGCTACTGCTGCTACTACTGCTACTGTTGCTTCTGGCAGTGGCCAGATGCAGCTCCAGCGACGTCCGCGCGAGTCTTTCACGCCCCAGCAGCTTCGTGATGGGTACGCTCAGAGTAGAGGGTCTCTGAGTACCGTTCGCTGCCCGTATGTCATTCGCACTGGTGCTCGGACTGGTCAGGCTTGCGAGAATCTTAATCACACATAGTCCCGCTGCTTCGCCCATCTGAGCGACGCCTAGTGTACCGAGTTTGATGACGAGGCTGAGCTCCCCGACTGGGTGGAGCTGCTTGGACAGAGGGTAGATATATTTGCTCTTGACTATGATGCTATTCTCACTGCCATGTATGCATTGCCTACTAGTGCTGACCGTGCCTGTTACCTGTGCGTACCGCCTGATCCAGGTATAGAGCCTGCGGCTCTAGGTGCTGGTGAGGCTGCTGCTCTAGGGGCTAGTGTGTCTCCTGCTCTAGGTACGGGTGAGACTGCTGCTCCAAGTGCTGGTGAGTCTGCTCTCTCTGGTATTGCGCCTGCTGCGGCCTTTTACACCTTCACACTTGACTCTGGTGCTTCTCGCTCCTTCTTTCGCGACAACACCACCCTCACACCGCTCAGTCGGCCGGTTCCAGTCTCCCTGGCAGACCCCTCTGGTGGTCCAGTCCGTGCAACCTCCTCCACTGTCCTCCCTTGTCCTGCTGTCCCGTCCGGCACACTGTTGGGTCTTTACCTCCCCTCATTCTCTACGAACTTGGTGGCGGGGTCTGCGCTCTAGGACGCGGGTGTCCACCAGTTCACCCCTGCCTACGAGCGTGTGACACACTGCACGTGTGCTCAGATGGGTCGCCACCTGGCTACCTTTACTCGGCAGCCGAGGTCGGGCTTGTACACACTGGTCATTGAGTCCCCTCAGGTGGCTGCATCTGCGTCTGCGTCAGGTCAGTTTTCGCCCCCCTACTCGTGTCGCGCCTTGTCGCACCAAACCCTCCTTTGGCACCACCGCCTTGGTCACCCTTCAGTGCAGCTCCTTCACAGCATGCACCGACGTGTCCTTGTCTCTAGTCTTCCCAGGGCTCTCCCTCCCCTCCCACCCTCGCCTGCTCCTCCCTGTCTTCCCTGTGTCGAGGGGCGACAGTGCGCCGCTCCTCACTCCTCCTCGTTCCCTCCCACAGAGGCTCCCCTGCAGACTCTCCACCTGGACGTGTGGGGCCCAACCCGCGTCCGTGGACAGGGCCACGAGCGGTACCTCCTGCTGGTCGTCGACGACTACACGCGTTACACCACGGTCTTCCCCTTGCGTACCAAGGGTGAGGTCCCTGATGTTTTGATCCCTTGGATCCGCGCTGCTCGTCTCTAGCTCCGCGAGCGGTTTGGGACGGAGTTTCCTGTCCTACGTCTGCACTCTGACAGAGGTGGGGAGTTTTCCTCCGACCTCTTGGCAGCCTTTTGTGAGGAGCACGGCATTCGCTTCCGGCCTCTCCGCAGCAGAATGGGGTTGCTGAGCGCCGCATTGGCTTAGTCATGGAGGTCGCTCGTACCTCCATGATCCATGCGGCTGCCCCCCATTTTCTATGGCCGTTTGAGGTCCAGTACGCCGCACATCAGCTCAACCTCTGACCTCGTGTCTCCTTGCCGGAGACCTCGCCCACACTGCTGTGGACGGGGAATGTTGGCGATGCGTCGCGTTTCCGGGTCTAGGGTGCTCGTGCCTTTGTCCGCGATACCACTGCGGACAAACTCTCCGCCCGCGGTGTTCCCTGTGTCTTCGTTGGTTTTGTCCCTGACGCGCCTGGTTGGCAGTTTTACCACCCCACCTCGCGTCGTGTCTTCCCCTCTCAGGATGTCACGTTCGACGAGTCGGTTCCCTTTTACCATCTCTTCTCCTACCGCACTGCCCCTCTCCCCCCCCCCCTCGCCGCTCTTCCTCGCTCCAGGTGCTCCCCAGGTAGACCCCCTCCCCGCTCCCGGTCCTGCTCCTTCAGCTGTGTCTCAGGTAGACCCTCCTCTCTTGACTGCGCCAGTTGAGGTCACTGGTGACTCAGGTCCTGCTGAGGGTGGTTCTGCTCGGGGTGCTACTTCTGGGGGTGCTGAGCCTGGGGGTGCGGAGCCTGGGGATGCGGAGCCTTGGGGTGCTGAGCCTGAGGGTGCGGAGCCTGGGAGTGCTGAGCCTGGGGGTGCGGAGCCTGGGGGTGCTAAGCCTGGGGGTGCGGAGCCTGGAGGTGCTGAACCTGGGAGTGCTGAGCCTGTGGGTACTGAGTCTGGGGGTGCTGCACCTAGGGGCGCTGAGGCGTCTGGTGAGCAGTCTCCCTGGAGCGGCCGTCTTCGTAGTTGCTCCGCTGGTGTCTCGCCACTGCACTCTCGTTGTCGTCTCCCTCTCTCTCAACAGCAGCTGCGTGAGTGGTACGTTAGCCGTCAGAATCGCGCTGCTGGAGCTGGGGGCCCTACTGCGGGAGGTGCTGGAGCTGGT